TGCAACTTCGGACAAGTTGCCATATTTCCAGCAAGATGACATCCCTGCCAATCCAGCAGCCTGTCGCCTTAGTATCGTGACGCATTCACTCATGCGATCAAGCTGCGCTGTCGTGCGCGCATATATCCTAGACGGTTACGAGGCTGTAGCGTTCGATAGCGAGTGTCTAAGCCGGTCAAAAAGGCAACTGTGTTACAGTATCGGCGTGACTCACGACCAGCAAGCCACTCAAGCCAAGTGCCACGATCTTAAACTGTGGATGGAGTTCATCCACCAGCCCAGGAAGCAGCCGCAGCCATGGAAGGAGCCGGGGTGGCACTGAACGTCGCGTTGCGAGCGCCATGAGTGCCATGTGAGACCAAAGCAGGATCCTGGTCCGACGGAGATGTCACCACCAAGCGGAGATCCAGCGCTGCTTCGTCGATTTCCATTTCGGTGGTGGCAAAAGTGGCATTGCAAAATACGATCTAACTTCTGACGTTCACTGAGTTCTCAGTCAAGGCCTGTGTGTGTGACATTCACAGTATGAATGCGTATGAATCAAACGCACTACAATTGCTGACGAAAACGATCTTTGGAAAGAAAAAATGTACTTCGCCAGAACCATGATTTATCAACTTTTTGTATTCACTTCTATTTCATTTTACACCATTTAGCCACACCTAAAACTTCACGCATGACAACTAGCTGACATTGATTCGAACATGCAGAGTCAAGTGGCCACCTCGCGACGCCCTCGGGACCCACAACAAGAGCGAGCCCCCTCCTGATCCCGGAATACCAATAAAATTTGGTCGCCAGCGATCAAGATACAACGTTTTATCTTCCAGCTTCGCGACGGTCGAATTCCACGTCGCCCTCCCTCCTGCAGCCACTGGCACTTTGGCGATTGTTTTGCCACCCGAGTGAATCACAACCTTCACGTCCTTTATATCCGAACTGGTGAAGATGAGATTCACCTTGCCATCTCCTTTCTTCTTCCATGTGCCGTAGCTCCCGACAAACGCTTCGTCTATCGTCTGAAGCCCCAGTGCGTCATACAATGAGCCGTCATCGATCTCACCGATGAAAGCAGTGGGTCCGCACGTTGGTTGAACAAATTGAGACGCCAGCCACACGATTCGTGTCGGGTCAAGCCCCGAAAACATCACCAACCCGTAGTTTGTCACCTCCAACATGTACTGTTGTTCTGCGACGAATGCTCCTTTATTCGTAGTGGCAGTCGTGACAAGCTGCTCGACGATCACGCCAAATGTTTTCCTTAGTAGATCTCGCGTCTCATACGCTGCTTGCTTGGTTTTATAGGATAACAATTCGTCCATACAGTTATTAGTTGCTTCGGGGATTTCCTTCAGTACAAGTGAAGACCTGCTGATTTTCACTCGGATATCATTGATTGTAGCGCCGGGATATTTCTTGCGAACGCCGTTGACCGAGAGAATGACGTGGTCTGTAAGCCGCTTGAGTTGATATCCACACGTCGAGTTGGTATCCATGAGTTCTTGCAGTTCATCCACACTGGAGCTGGAGGAATTGAGGACACTGACGTTGTACAGTAAATTATACACATTTTGCGCAGACGAAAGAATCTCGTCGCCGTTGACGATAACCTGCTTGACAATGGCTTCCACAATCATCATCACAATACCGGAAAACACCAAAGTTGGCGGCACGTGGAGCCCTAGACAATGGCAAATTGCTACTGGCAAGTCCACGATAACGACATCGGATTGGTACGCCACCGCGAGGATTTCTTCCACCGCTCCTTGAGGCGCAGTTGTTTGCTTAAATCTGATGTAGTAGATAAGAGATCGGAGCACGCCGACGATGTTCGCGGCGCAGAAGAAATTCCGTCTGACGTTCCGATAGACCGAGATGACAGTGCCGAGGATACCTGCCGTTGCCACATTAACCACCGAAGCCAGCACAGCTACAGCCTTCTGCGCTATCTCCAGAGCACAGTCGTCATTTTGAGGAATACATTCCAAAAAGCAGTTGACGGGGTACGCTAGCGGACATTCAGCGATGCAGGTGCCATCGACTGGGTCGTACATGGTGTAGCCTGCAGGACACACTTTACTGCTGTTATACGGCACCATTTGCCTGTAACACGCCGTATCTTTGGCATTACCCAGAGTAGGGCCCACCCAGTTGCGAATTCTCTTGCCAAACCAGTCATTTCCCATATTATCTGTGAGGTTCGTCGCCTTTGCTGATCTCCGCGTCCAAATGACTCCAAGTTGATCCACTTCTGCCGCTGCTCGACCGAAAAATCCGCTGAGTTGGAAACCTT